CCCCGCGCAGACCTCGCGCCAGTGGGCTGGCTGGGGGCAGGATCGGGCCCCTTGGTCTGTTCCTCCCCAGCCCAGAGAGCAGCTGGGGGCAGGATCGGGCCCCCCCACCCCAGCCTTGTTAGCTGTTGGAGGGAGGAGGCAGGATTGGGGGCTCTAAACTCTCGCCCCCGCCCCCCTGTGTGTGTGGTGGGGGGTTGGGATATTGCCTATGGGGGAGGGTTAGGGGAGGTTAGGGGGCTGGGATATTAGGTGGGGTTGATCCCTTGTGCTGGGGGAGGGTCTGGGGTACTGGGGGTAGGGGACTCCTACAGGAGTGGGTGACACTGGGTCCCAGGTGCCCCCTAGAGGGGAAAGGCCCCATGTCCCTCCCCCCCTTCCCCGGTCCCCCAGCCAGCCAGTCCCCGGGCTAGGGGCTGGATCAAGGCAGGCGGGGGTGGGGTGGGGGCGTGCAGGGAATGGTGCCTCCCCTCCAGCCACAGTGTCGATTTCTGGTCCCAGCCCAGAGCAAACTCCCATCTCCCAAAATAGCCGGTGGGGGGGAGCGTCTGTGTGGGTGAGTGTTAGAGGGGGGGTGTCTGTGGGTTACTGGTGTTTGTCCCCCTGGGGGGCTGGAGCGGGGCAGGGGGGGGACCCAAGACATGGCTCCAGCAGAGGTAGTTGCCCCCCGTTCAGGGAGCCCATCTGGCCCCCAGTTATGGGAGATCCAGCACTGCAGACCTCACTCCACAGGTGCAGACGTGAACAACCCAACGTGCCCTCGGAGAAACAGGCATTGGTGCAAAGCGCACACTTGTGCACAGACGAGCTGGCCTCTGAAACTCACTGGCCAGCATGAATCCGCCCACCTGTGGGCAGGTACACATGCATACATACGCACACACACACACACACGGCACATGCACTGACATGCCAAGCACACGCGCCTCGCCAGACACACACGACTCCCTCGCACACACTAGTGCAATGCACACAGGTGCACACGGGGTGGCCGTGTGATTCCCACACAGGCCCCGCCCCCTGCAGGACGTTCCCTGCCTCACGGACAGTGGGGGGCCTGTTCCCAGCTAGGCTACTGTGGCACCCCCTGTCCCAGCGTAGAGCCCCACCCTGTGGCTGGGAGCTGGCCGGGCAGGGGCCCCTTTGAACCTGGGCAGCGTCTCGGTGCCGTGTTTATCCGCAGGGCGGACAGAGGCAGCTCTGTGCAGGGCATGAACGGCCCAGCTGTCTGGCTGCTGGGCCGGGGCCCAGCCACGAACCACAACCCCCCTCCCCCTATCCCAGGGGGCGAGCGCCTCAAACAGCCCCTGGCAGAGGCCAGCGGGGCTTTGACCCTTGGCAGCTCAGGAACCAACCACCCCCTGCGCCCGACCGGTGGGACCCGGGACACCAGGGTCCAGCC